GCACTGGGTAAAGTCAGAAGCACGGGAGGGTGAGAGAATTCACCAGAGTCAGAGCGGGGAGCAGAGTAGGCAGAAGGACCAAAGCACACTGCTGAGGGGAGCAGCGGGCGGCAGGAGAGGTCTGCGCGCCATGCGGGACCCTCCTCCGGTGGCCGGGGAGCAGCCGGGGATCGAACTGGCGCCGCAGAGGCTGCAGGCAGCTTCGCAACCCAGCGCTCAACTGCTGCGCCACCGGGGAGGCCCTATTCAAGTCTATTTTATCTTACAAGATGGCTGATACCAGCATTCTTCTAATTACTATCTGATATATTTTCTACTCTTTAAATTTTAACAAGTTAATGTAGATAGGGCACCTATCACATAGAAAGCCGCAAAAATTCTATGTGTTGTAGAGCTTCAGTGAGCATCCTCCCCCTAGTAGGTACTCAGTGGGTTAGAAGCAGGGGGACACAGACAGTGATTCTTACCAGAAAGTAAAGTGGCTCCTGAGAGGGAAATCTAGGTTGATGAACCTAGAGAAAGAAAATCTAGGCAGACATACAGTCTGCCTTCAGGGAAAGGCTTCCCATAGGCAAGCAGCTTTCGTGCTTTGTAAAGGTTCAACTCTTGGGCATTATTATTTTTTTAAAGATTTATTTATTTATTTATATAAGCACTGGGTACAGTCAGAAGCGCGGGAGGGTAAGAGAATTCACCAGAGCCAGAGCAGGGAACAGAGCAGGCAGAGTGATGAAATACACTGCTGAGAGGAGCAGCAGGTGTGGCAGGAGAGGTCTGCATGCCATGTGGGACCCTTACCGGTGGCCAGGGATCAAACTGGTGCTACAGAGGCTGCGGGCAGCTTCGCAGCCCAGCGCTCAACCGCTGCACCACCAGCAGAGGCCCTGTTTTCTGCATTTTGTCTGGTAGAGCCCAGGTTCATCCCAAGGCCGTGAGGTTGTGCAGTTTGTGTTTATGGCCTGGTCTTGAACCTGATCATAGACCTGTATGGGGGAGGATCTACTCAGTATGACTGATCCAGGTTGGGGTACAGTTGACGTGAGCAGAATGAGAAATATGACAGTGTGGGTGTCTGGATCCAACTGTGGTGCAAGAGTGCCTCTGTATCCCTGTTTGTATGACTTTTTTCCTACATATGGGGAAGGGCTTGGATTTTTTCATATCTCCTGACCTGTTGATAGGTTTGGGAGAGTTGGCAAGAACAGCGGCTAGCAGGAATAAGGGAGAAAACAGAAAACTTCACTTACCTTAAATAATTTTTGGATACACCAAGTCTCAAGGTCTCTTTTTCCTCCCCAGCTCTGGCTTCTCTCAACTGAACTTCTCTAGGAGAGGAAACCTGAGGAGGCTTGGCAATTCTAAAACCATGGCCCAGGTAAGTGAATGCATCATTCTCCTTCCTGAAATACAGTTATTAATTCATGTCATATTTCACTTTTTATCCTGAAACCTCATATATAGGAAAGCTGTATTTCTAAGCCTATTTAACTATTTCTCCTAGAACAGAGAATGGTGTCCTCATTTGCTTCTTTTTCTCAAGCTGATTTTCACTTATCAAATAATTAATTCATCGTCTATCTCTGTGTTCAGTTTTTTTTAAAAAGATTTATTTATTTATGCATGCAAGAACTGGGGTACAGGCCAGAGGTGGGGGTGAGAGGATTCACCAGAAACAGAGTGGGGAACAGAACAGGCAGACCAACCGAAATACACTGCTGAGGGGAGCAGCAGGCGAGTCAGGAGAGGTCTGCTGCACCATGTGGGTAGCTCCCTGGCCGGGGTTGAATTCATGCTGCATTGGCTGTGGATAGCTTCATAGGTTGCATCTTAACCCCTTGCACCACCAGGAAGGCCCTCTGTGTTGAGTCTTAAAAGCAGCGCTGGGACAGTGAAAGACTGAAGCACCTTGAAGGAATTTCCCTTGTCAGGTTCATGGTTCCATGATGTGGATGATGGAGGAAAACAGCCTCTGCAGCAGATAAGGGGAATTGTGGTCTCAGTTTCAATAAGAGATGAGATCAAGGCTTTTAAAAACTTTGTTTTGCATAGAAATGGGGTTGATACCTGCCTAGAGAGAGATCAGGAATATGGTGAAGGAATTACTGAGAAATGAGTAAGGTACAAAGGTCTATTTTGTAGTGGGAGAGAAATTGCTGATCTTAAGTGAATGTTGTTCTGGGTCATCCTCTATAGTGGTTCTAATTCAGGACAGTTCAGTGAAAAATTGTAGAAAGAAAAACCATGAAAGACTATATATGGGGGCCTCCCTGGTGGCGCAGGTGGTTGAGCGCAGCACTGTGGAGCTGTCTGCAGCCTCTGCAGTGCAGGTTCCATCCCGGCTGGTGAGGTATGGCCAGTGAGATACCCACATGGAGCGGCAGACCTCTCCTGTCTTGCCCGCTGCTCCCCTCAGCAGTGTATTTCAGTCAGTCTGCCTGTTCTCTCCCCACTCTGTCTCTGGTGACTCCTCTCATCCTCCCGCACATCTGGCCTATAACCCGGTTCTTGTATGCATGAATAAATAAATCTTTAAAAAAAACAAAATAGTTAATCTTTTTATGTTAGCTCTTCTAATATAGGGCGGTGGTGCTCTCCCCTGATATAAGCTGGGCTGTCACAGGGCTCACTTCCTTTGTTACTTGTCTCTTAGGGATCACAGTTTTTCACTGCCTGATATTTGCTGTCTTGAAAATTTGTTTCATAGATTTTTGTTGTTGTTATTTGGTTATTTCATGCAGGAGGGTGAATCCAAGCCCTATTATTCCATTTGAAGTGGAAGAATTCTGGGGGAGGTGTGACCAATTCTTTTACATATTCTTTGAAGAGATGTGTAAGAAATTGCTTGTACTAATAGGTACAAAGTAGCTAGTGCTTATATTTACTATTTTATTTAATTTGGAAAGTGATTATTCATTTTAATACATTTGGATATTTTCCTTTCCCTATTTTTAAGGAAATTTTGTGTGCTCCAGTAGGATTCCCAAGATTCTTTGGCACTGTACTTCAGATATGCTCATTTATCCTTGTCTGTGTCATAATCTTGTCATTTCAGCCAACTTGTTTTTTTTTTTAAAAAAAAGATTTTATTTTTTATTTATTTATACAAGCACTGGGTATAGTCAGAAGTGCGGGAGAGTGAAAGAATTTACCAGAGCCAGAACGGAGAGCAGAACAGGCAGACTGACAAAGTACACTGCTGAGGGGAGCAGCAGGCAGCAGGAGAGGTCTGCCGGGCAATGGACCAGCGCTGCAGAAGCTGTGGGCAGCTTCGCAACCCAGCGCTCAACCACTGCGCCACCGGGGAGGCCCCTCAGCCAACTTGTTTTTATGTGTTGTCCTTTTAATGTAATTCCATTTTGAACTTGAGAATTTTTTTCTTTGCATTTACAAATACTACATGGGTTTGTAATTTCAGGTGCCACTGACATTCAGTGATGTTGCCATAGACTTCTCTCCAGAGGAATGGGGATGCCTAAACTCAGATCAGAGGGATTTATACAGAGATGTGATGTTGGAGAATTATACTAATTTGGTCTCAATGGGTAAGGATGTCTCTCTGAAATGATGTAGATTCTGATTTACTCAGGCTCAGTGGAGATCTAAAAGGCAGTGTAAAAAGATCCCTTAGTAATTCTGATCCACACCTACATGTGAGAACTAAGGAGTTTTTCTCTGCCTACTCATAAACTTTATATTCTCAAGAACTTTCATAATATTCTGAACTTTCATAATATTCTTCTTGCCTTTTTCTAAATTTATTTATTCATACAAGCACTGGGTACAGTCAGAAGTGCAGGAGGGTGAGAGAATTCACCAGAGCCAGAGCGGGGAGCAGAGCAGGCAGAAGGACCGAAGTACACTGCTGAGGGGAGCAGCAGGCTCTGCAGGAGAGGTCTGCGCACCATGTGGGACCCTCGCCCGGCGGCTGGGGACGGCCGGGGATCCAACCGGCACTGCAGAGGCTGAGGGCAGCTTCGCAACCCAGCGCTCAACTGCTGCGCCACTGGGGAGGCCCCCTTCTTGCCTTTTTAAAATTTCATGAGGGCCTCTGTGGTGGCACAAGGGGTTAAGCATCAGCATATATATATATATATATATATATATATTTTTTTTTTTTTTTATAGAGGCATGTTTATTTATTTATTTATTTGTTTGTTTGTTTGTTTTGTTTACACATGCACTGGGTACAGTCAGAAGCGCGGGAGGGTGAGAGAATTCACCAGAGCCAGAGCGGGGAGCAGAGCAGGCAGAAGGACCGAAGTACACTGCTGAGGGGAGCAGCGGGCGGCAGGAGAGGTCTGCGCGCCATGTGGGACCCTCCTCCGGTGGCCGGGGAGCAGCCGGGGATCGAACCAGCGCCATAGAGGCTGCGGGCAGGTTCGCAACCCAGCGCTCAACCGCTGCGCCACCGGGGAGGCCCAAGCATCAGCATATAAAGCAATCCACAGCTACTGAAGCAGGAGCTTGATCCCTGGCCAGAGAGCTACCGACATGGCACAGTAGACCTCTCCTGTCTCACCTGCTGCTCCCCTCAGTAGTGTATTTCTTCAGTTTGCTTGTTCTGTTCCCCACTCTGTCTCTGGTGAATGTTCTTACCACCACCCACCCCCACGCCTCTGGCCTACATCCCAGCTCTTGTATACATAAATGAATAAATTTTTAAAAAGTAAAATTTCATGACAGTATTTGATATTTATGAAACTTTAAGTTCTAATGGATATGCTTTTCTATTTATCACTGTTTTTATTACAGGAGTTCCCCCATCACTCCCAGTACAGGAAAATAGGATTTGCTTGTGTTCTCATTTTCTTCCAGACTTTGATTTCACTATGGAGACCAATAAGTTATCTTCAGGAAGAAGCAGTTATGAAGTACATTCATGCCTTCGGAAGACTATGAGTAAAACTTTCAACCTTATGGGGTTTCTTTTCAGAAATGACTCACTGTGCAAAAGTGAATCTTGGAAACAAGAGAGACCTACAGTGCGATGTTTTAGTCAAATGCTACTTAGGAAACATATATTATCCTCTCTACCTCAGAGAATTCACAAGAGAGAGAAATCATATGAATGAAGGGAATGTAAGAAGGACTTCAGAAAATATTCACAACTTACTGAACATCTGAGGAACCATGATGGTGTGAGACCTTATGAATGTAAGAAATGTGGAAAAGCCTTTATAGTTCAACATTTTATTAGACATGAAAAACTTCACACTAATTTGAAACCCTATGAATGTAATGGATGTGAGAAGGTCTTTAGGTTTTATTCACAACTTATCCAACATCAGATAATTCATACTAGCGTGAAACCCTATGAATGTAAGCAGTGTGGAAAGGCTTTTAGACGTCATTCTCACCTCACTGAACATCAGAAAATTCATATTGGTTTGAAACCCTATGAATGTCAGGATTGTGGGGAAACTTTTAGATTGTACCGACATATTTGTTCACACCAGAAAATTCATCATGGTGTGAAACCTTATCTATGTAAAGAATGTGGGAAGGCCTTTGGTCATCACTCAAGTCTTTATCAACATAAGAAAATTCATTCTGGTGAGAAGCCATATAAATGTAAGCAATGTGGAAAGGCCTTTGTTCGTGGCTATTTACTTATTGAACATCAGAGAAGTCATACTGGTGAGAAGCCTCATGAATGTGAAGAATGTGGAAAGGCCTTCAGCAGGGGCTCAAGCCTTCTTAAACATAAGAGAATTCACAGTAGTGAGAAACTCTATGATTTTAAGGAATGTGGGAAGGCCTTCTGTAGAGGCTCTCAACTAACACAACATCAGCGAATTCACACTGGTGAGAAGCCACACAAATGCAAAGAATGTGGGAAGACTTTCAAGCTTCATTCATACCTTATTCAACATCAAATAATTCATACTGATTTGAAACCACATGAATGTACACAATGTGGCAAAGCCTTCAGTCGTGTTGGAGATCTTAAAACACATCAGTCAATTCATGCTGGGGAGAAACCCTATGAATGCAAGGAATGTGGAAAAACCTTTAGACTTAATTCTCAACTAATTTATCATCAGACAATTCATACTGGTTTGAAACCATATATATGTAAAGAATGTAAGAAGGCCTTTCGTTCTATCTCAGGTCTTTCTCAACATAAGAGAATTCATACTGGTGAAAAACCCTATAAATGTAAAGAATGTGATGAGGTCTTTAATCATAGTGATCGACTTACTCAACATCAGAGAATTCATACTGGTGTGAAACTGTACCAGTGTAAGGAGTGGGAAGGCCTTTAATCATTGCTATCAGCTTACTCATCATCAAAGATTTCATTGATGCTGGGGAACTCTTAATGTAATGAGAGTCAAAAAGCCTTTAGCTATGGCACATCCTTTACCATTAGCACTGCATTACCTAGTGGTGCTATGGTAAAGATTACATAAATTAACGCAAAATATAAGTCCTAGGAAGGACATGTGGCATTAGTATTTGCTTAATAAATATTACCATTTTTTATGAAGATGCTCAAGGTCTCCAAGGACCAGTGTGCCCTAAAATTTATCATGAAGAGGCTGGGGACATACATCGGCTCCAAGAAGAAGAGAGAGGAATTGAGCAACCTCCTGGCTGCCATGAGGAAGGCAGATGCCAAGAAAGACTGAGCTCCCTGCCCCCATGTGCCTAAGTATTTTCAGAAAAAAAACAAAAACAAAAACAAAACAAAATGGAAGAAAACTCCATGTCTTTATTGCATGTTGAGAGTATAGCTGTTATGTGATTTGAAGAAATTTTCTCACAATAAGCTCTGTAATACAGATAACTTGCAAACCACATTCCCTACAGTTAAAATTAGAATTTAACACCAAGAAATTAAAAATTAATACCTTTGTTTTGGCTAACAAAGGTAGCCAAAGACAGATATGGACTTGGACAAGTTTGCCAAGATTTCAAATTTACATAAAAGATTAAACAATGGTACAGTGAAGTTTGGTTTGCTCTGCAACTAAATTCAGTATATCTGATCTATCACTCATGAAAAATATATACATACAGATGCACAAATATACTTACTGCATATAAATATATATTCCATATACCAGTTTACTATGATTTTTAAAAATCAACAATGTCTAGAATGAAAGAGAATCTTCTACGTGACCACTGAAGCACTGTTACTAAAGAAGAGTAATAGTAACCCTATAATTTCCTATATTTAGTCTGTGTACAAATTTCTCCTGTTGCTTAAAAAATGTCTTTTCAAAATGATGGCTTAAAAAAAAGAACAAAATAAGCTCATGCATTTTAAATGATATGAGTTATTGGGTATCATTTGGTCAAAAATTTTATCCTCCACCATTTCTGTGACTCAGACTGAAGCCTCAGAAGTAATATATAGTACAGCAAATTCTATATTTTGGGGCTTACTGTCTTTTTCTTTTGTGAATTGGAGGTTATGTGTACAGGCCTAAGTTTCAGATTAAACATTTTGACAAAACTCCCTCATAGATAATATTATGTACATAATATTGTCAAGTATCAGGTGGCATTGAGGCTTGATCTCCATATATTGACCACCAGCTCTTTCCAGTGTACTGATAAATATTTTTCTTTGCAGTTAATAAGTAATTAATGGAAAGTCACATTGGCACTTCACTTGGAAATATAAAGTCTTATGTATTTTAAATAAATGTAGACAAAACCTCAACTTTTGTTTTTTTACCTTTTCTCATGCTCTTCATTCCTTCCCCATGATATATATTGCTATTTGGTATCAGTTTCCTTCTGCTTTGAAGAACTTAATTTGACATTTTTTTAAAAAGATTTATTTATTTATTTATATATGCACTGGGTACAGTCAGAAGTGCGGGAGGGTGAGAGGATTCACCAGAGCCAGAGTGGGGAACAGAACAGGCAGACTGACGAAGTACACTGCTGAGGGGAGCAGTGGGCACTGCAGGAGAGGTCTGCGCGCCATGTGGAACCCTCGCCAGAGGCCGGGGATCGAACCAGCGCTGCAGAAGCTGCGGGCAGCTTCACAGCCTAGTGCTCAACCGCTGCGCCACCGGGGAGGCCCTTAATTTGACATTTCTTAAGTGCACATCTGATGATGAATTTTGATAGTTGCTCTGATTGAAATTCCTTTATTCTTGAAAAATACTTTTTTCTTGCTACAGAATCTGAGTTTTGTTTTGCCTTTTTAAAAGAAAAGATAGCTGTATAATTGCACTGACTTCTGGCCTCCACAGGTTATGAGGAGAAATTGAATTACGTTTCCTCAGATGTAATGGGCCGTTTTCTCTGGGTGCTTACAAGATTTTCTTAGTGCTTTAGATTTTAAACTTTGAGTATGATGTGCTTTCATATCGTTGTCATTGTGTTAATCCTGTTGGGGATTCTCTGAGCCTATGAAATCTGTACACTTAGACTTTTTACCAAATTTCAGAAAATGTTGGCCATTATTTCTTTAATATTTTTCCCTCCTTCCAAAAACTCACACGTTATATCTTTTGATACTGCTCCACATTACACTGGCTCTGGTATCTTAAATCTTTTTTTCTTGTACCAATTTTCTTGTGGCCATATTATTCCATTTCTTTTTCTAGGAGCAAAATCGCTGGGTCATGGAGTATCAGAAACTGTCAAATTATTTTCTAAAGTACTTCTCCATTTTAGCATCCATCAGCAATGTGAGAATTTCAATTGCTTCACATTCTTGTCCACAGTGAGTCTTTTTAAAGCTAACCATTTTAGTGGATATGTAGTAATATCCATGTTTTATCAATATTTCCCACATGATACTGACCACCTTTCCATGTGCTTATTGGTCATACATATATTTTCTCTTTTGCTATATCTGTTCAACTTTTATCCATTTAGATAGTGCTCTTTGTATTTTTATGATTCACAGATAAAATCTTTTTGATACAATAGATGCTAATCCTTTGTCAGAAATATGTACGTTATCCTCCCTGTCTCTGACTTACCTATTTCTCAAGTTTTTAAAAATAAAGTGCAGCTTATGATCTTTTACAGTTACCTTTGTGACCTGTGTAAAAGATAAATGCCCATGATCACTAATTAGTCTCCTATGTTTTTTTCATAATTCTAAATGTAAAATAGGAAACATGAATGCATCTAGAAAAAAAAACAACCAGGAAAAAAGTCTCAGCACTATGAAACTATCAGCAGCCACTGCAGCCTGAATTCTATCCTTGACCAGGAAGATAACTAACATGGTGCAGCAGACCTCTCCTGTCTCCCCTCAGCAGTGTAATTCAGTCAATCCACCTGTTCTGCTCCCCACTCTGTCTCTGGTAAATCCTCTCACTGCCCTCCACAACTCTGGCCTACACCCCATCTCTTGTATGCATAAATAAATAAATCTTAAAAAAAGCAGAAATTCAAAGACAAGACAAATCAACATACTATACTAGAAAAGTGATTAAGGATCTCCAATCAACCAGTCAGGCAATTTAAAAGAACAGGCAATTGAAATACAAAAACAAAAATACACTGAAACAGGCACATCACATAATATCACTCAAAAGATGTAAAAATTCTAAATAAGATAGTAGCAAATGAGGGCCTCCCTGGTGGCATAAGGGGTTAAGAAGCAACCTGTGAAGCAATCTGCAGCCTCTGCAGCACAAGTTCGATCCCTGGCAGGCCAGGGAGCTATCCACATGGTGCAGTAGACCTCTCCTGTCTCGCCTGCTGCTCCCCTCAGCAGTGTATTTCAGTAGATCTGCCTGTTCTGCTCCCCACTCTGTCTCTGGTGAATCCTGTCACCCCTACACCTCTGGTCTGTACCCCAGTTCTTGTATACATAAATAAATCTTTAAAAAAAAAAAAGATAGTAGCAAATGAAACCAACCAGTGCATCAAAACGATTGCTTTCATGCACTGATTGGTTTCTCTCTCTCTCTCTCTCTCACACACACACACACACACACACACTTTTTCTCACCAGTATAGATTTCCTATACTGGATGAGGCGATAGCTACGACTAAATGCCTTCTCACATTCTTTCCATTCATACAGTAACCAATTAAATACTGTATATTTGCAAAAAAGAAAAGATTAAGTTGCATATGACAAACACAGGAGCCATCCCTAAGTAGATACAACAAAGATTTTTATTCACAAATAAGAAAAAACAGAAGGCCACTATTGGAGAGAAGACGCAAACTGCCATTCCATCATCGCTAAAAACCAGATTCAATGACTAGGAGGTTTAACTTCAGAGTTTTAGTTATAGCTGCATTTTCTTTTTTCTTTTTAAAGATTCACGTATTTATCTATGCCTACAAGAGCTGGGGTATGGGCCAGAGATGCAGGGGGTGAGAGGATTCACCAGAGACAGAGCGGGGAACAGAACAGACCGACCGAGTGAAACACACTGCTGAGGGGAGCAGCGAAGAGACAGGAGAGGTCTGCTGTGCCATGTGTGCTGCTCCCTGGCAGGCCAGGGACCAAACCCACGTATAGCAGCATTTTCTAATATAGTTTCACATCCTTAAAATGGTAACTGGTAATGTGAATCAGGATTTCCAGGATTTGAGATACACCAGACTTAACAAAGTTGAACATTTTTTTCAATGAGATAAGTTGAAAGGTGCTCTTTTGGTTTTTCCTTAAGATTGACTTTAGTAAAGATTGCTTCATATGCTTCTTTTACTGGAGAATTCTTGTGTTTCAAGTGCTATTAAGTACTGGTGTTTTTTGACACTACTTCAGAAGTGCTAGGATAAGGCACCATGTCCACACCTCCTAGTTAAAATGCAAATATGGTACCCAGGAGGAGTGAAACACTAAATGATCAGCAATGATTTATTCTATTAAAATACTCAAAAATATCCTGCTGTGTTCCACTTCATTATTAAAATTGGGTGGAACAAAGCTGTTGGCCACTATATGGCAAATGACTGGTGATGACTCAGATGGTCTGTCTATACTGAGAGGACACAGAGGGGAGGTGCAGGTTAAAATAATTACCGGGGTGAGCCACAGGTACTTGTCAATGCAGAAGTTTTGATGAAACTGACATTTCTGGAAATTAGTTAACTATTAAAGTATTGGATTCAAATATGTGTATAAACTTATTACTTCATCAACATTAGCATGCTTTGATGCCAGCATGGAATCATGACAGCCTCCTGATTGAACATGATTATGAAGCCATCATATGATATGCATTTTCTTATGCTTTTATAGGAATAAGCATATTCTGCTTCTGTTGTCAGCCTAATATTCTATAATATGAACATTCTCCTAATCAGAAATTACAAGTGAAGGATTTCATATTTTAACTAAATCGTATTGTGACTTGTTTCATATTTTAAAGAGTGCTGGTTTTCAAATTATTTCTAGGCAAAGAAAAACTTTGTTTTTAATTTCTAAGCATTCACAGACTAATATTTTTATAAAATGATAATGTGCAGTATCAAATTGCTATAAAAGATTCCACACACTTTTCTTATGGTGGGCAGGTAACAATTTCATGGATGGCACTAGTCTCGGGACAAGAGTTTGAACAGCACTTAATTAAAGGCCTTCCTACAATCTAATTCAAAGGGTTTCTCATGTGGATTAATTCTACCACGTCTACATGCCTCCCTACATTCCTTATATTCATCTGTATTCCAGTAGCAGCAACTCTAATGTGCAGAGCAAAAACAATTAGGTCCTTACCACATTCCTATAAGTGTTTCTAATGAGTATAGATCCTCTGATGTTTATCAGACTTTGCACCATGAATAAAGATCTTCACATATTCCTTACATTTAAATGGTTTCATATCAGTAACACTGATGTTCAATAAGATCATACAGAAATTGAAAGGCCTTTTCCTATTTTTTGAAAATTTGAGATTTCTCAATAATATGAATTTTCTGGTATCAACTAAACTGCCTATACAGGAAAGCTTTTTGCATTCATAAGTCTTCTCAAGACTAAGAATTGTGGTGAACAAGTTGTCCATATACAAAAACAATGTTTTCACTTCTCTTCAATCATAAACTTTCACTAGTATCAGTAATCTCATTTGAGTAAGCTGTCCATATAAAGGCTTTGCCACATTCTTTATAGTTACAGAGTTTATCATTATTGTGACTTCTCTCATGTTGAACAAGACCTGAGCCACAACTGAACACAGTCCCAAATTCCTTACACTGATAAGGTTTCTCATCAGTATGAAATCTCTGATGAACATTAAGCTGATAGCCACTACCAAAGAACTCCCCACATTCTTCACATCCATAGGATTTCTCACCAGAATGGACTCTCTCGTGTTTAATGAGGCTTGAACCCCAACTAAAGGTCTTCTCACATTTCTTACATTTAAAAGGTTTCTCACCAGTATGGATTTTCTGGTGTTGCACAAGGTGATAGCCATGACTGAAGGCCTTCCCACATTCTTTACATCCATAGGATTTCTCACCAGTATGGACTCTCTCGTGTTTAACAAGACTTGAACCCCAACTGAAGGTCTTCCCACAGTCTTTACATTCAAAAGGTTTTTCACCTGTATGGATTTTCTGATGCTGAGTAAGGTGATAGCCACGACTGAAGGCTTTCCCGCATTCTTTACACTTGTAGGGTTTCTCGCCAGTGTGGATTCTCTCATGCTGAACAAGACTTGAACCACAATTAAAGGCTTTTCCACATTCTTTACATTCATAGGGCTTCTCACCCGTATGAAATATCTGATGTCGAGTAAGTTGATGGCCACTACCAAAAGCTTTCCCACATTCTTTAAATTCATAGGATTTCTCACCAGTATGGACTCTCTCATGTTTAACAAGACTTGAACCCCAACTAAAGGCCTTTCCACATTCTTTACATTCAAAAGGTTTTTCACCCGTATGGATTTTCTGATGCTGAGTAAGGTGATAGCCACGACTGAAGGCTTTCCCGCATTCTTTACACTCATAGGGTTTCTCGCCAGTGTGAATTCGTTCGTGTTGAATAAGACTTGAGCCACAATTAAAGGTCTTCCCACACTCCTTGCATTCGTAAGGTTTCTTGCCAGTATGAAATATCTGATGTCGAGTAAGTTGATAGCCCCAGCAAAAAGCTTTTCCACATATCTTACATTCATAAGGTTTCTTACCAGTATGGATTTTCTGATGCTGAGTAAGTTGATAGCCACGACTGAAGGCTTTCCCACACTCTTTACATGTATAGGGTTTCTCACCTGTATGAATTATCTCATGTTTAGCAAGGCTGGAGCTCCAAAAAAAGGCCTTCCCACATTCTTTACATTCATAAGATTTCACACCAATATGGATTTTCTGATGTTGAGTAAGGTGATAGCCACGACTGAAGGCCTTGCCACATTCCTTACATTCATAGGGTTTCTCACCAGTGTGGATTCTCTCATGTTTAACAAGACTTGATCCCCAACTAAAGGTTTTCCCACATTCCTTACACTCATACGGTTTCTCACCTGTATGAAATCTTTGGTGCACAGTGAGCTGATAGGCACTAAAAAACTGCTTCCCACAATCTTTACATTCAAAGTGTTTCTTAGCTGTATGAGTTCTCTCATGTTGAACAAGTTTTGAGCCATGACTACAAGCCTTCCCGCATTTCTTACAAACATAGGGCTTCTCTCTAGTGTGAATTCTTTGATGTGCTGTAAGTGATTTACTTCTATAAGTGGGCATTTTTCCACAACTGATTATCATTTGACTGAAGTACCCCTCTTGATGTCCCTTAAGTCCCTCCAATTTGCTTTTGCACTTCCAATTATTTTTGAAAATGGATGCCTCAAGGCCAAGGATTTTACTTCTTTCTTTTATCTCCCATTGGGAAAAATTTATTTCAAAAATGTCGTTTTCTGAAAATGTATGTTTAGTCTCATATGTTGACTCCAAATCTGAAAGAAAATCAAATACTTTATTTCCATTAGCAGAAAACAAACAAAACCTTTATAGTAGAAATAAATAACAAACTGGAAATAATACATATTAAAAACGAGCTGGGTTAGGAGACTGAATAAACTCACGTGCAAGCATCAAGCCTCTGATTTTTCAGTTCTTGTAATCTCAATGTTCTGATTTGACAGTTTTCTAGAAAATTCTATAGAGATCACTTTAACAAGTCCCTTATGTTCCCATGTAGATGGTCCCTTACTGCAAACTGTGCCCTTCCATCAATCAACTGTTATGTGCCCAGGTGTGCTCAACTTTTAACAACTACGTAGCTTAGTATGATAAACTGGAATCTGGAAAATCCCCAAGTTCAAAACTAAAACCATTAAGTAATCTTTTCTTAATAATTGGTATTGGGCTACAAAACAAATAAAATTCTGTGGTTAAAGCAGTTATTAAGTTCCAAAGCTCTGCTGGAGTTCAAACAAGAAGTGAAATAAAACCAACTAAAGCTAACTAAAACTAAAGCTTAACAAGAAGTGAAAATTAATTAAAGCTAATTAAACTTCCATTCTTTATTGTTCTTTTATTCCCAGTGTCTCCCACAAATAAAAATTTATGGTAGCTGAGAAATGGGGAAAATATGACCTATAATCACATACATAAAAAAGTCAAAAAAGAGAGAACAGATTAAGTGTTGGAATCAGCAGAGAAGGTCATTAAACAATTATGTATGACAGAATCTGGAAGAAAATATGGACAATGAACAGATGGGAAATTTCAGCAGATAAATGGAAACTCTTAAATTGAACCAAGTGGAAATTCTACAACCAGAAAACCCAAACTGAAGCACAAAGAGAAAAAAGACTGAAAAAGAAAACACACAAACCACAGTACCAGATCTTTTTTTTAAACATTTTTGTTTTTTTAAGATTTATTTATTTATTTATTCATACAAGCACTGGGTACAGTCAGAAGCGCGGGAGGGTGAGAGAATTCACCAGAGCCAGAGTGGGGACCAGAACAGGCAGACTGATGAAGTACACTGCTGAGGGGAGCAGCGGGTGCAGCAGGAGAGGTCTGCGCGCCATGTGGGACCCTTGCCAGAGGCCGGGGATCGAACCAGCACTGCAGAGGCTGCAGGCAGCTTCGCAGCCCAGTGCTCAACCACTGTGCCACCGGGGAGGCCCCACAATGCCAGATCTTCGGTCCTTCTGCCTGCTCTGCTCCCTGCTCTGGCTCTGGTGAATTCTCTCACCCTCCCGCGCTTCTGACTGTACCCAGTGCTTGTATAAATAAATAAATAAATCTTTAAAAAAAAAAAAGTAAACATCATCCTATTTAAAAAAAAAAAAGAGTGTCGCCTGCAGCCATGTGCCCTGTCTGTCTTGTCAGGTTTCAGGGTGCAGCCACATGCTCCACTCATATGGTGGGGCAGAGGTTACCAAAGCGGTGTTTGCAAAGTGTGGCAGGGCCTAGGGCAAGCCACAGGGGTAGCACAGGGCGAAAGCAGCCTGGGCGGCCAGTGTGATTTGGGGCCGAGTTTAGGCTTGGGCAGATGAGGCTTGTCATTTCCCAGTTGGGGAGTCTTCGATGACCTGAACCCCAGGGTCTTCATCTTAAAAACACACAAAATTCTTATCTTTTGAGGGCTGGGGTATCAATAACCAGTGTAAAGTGCTGAGAGAGTACTTGGCATATAGGGGACAGTCTGTTCATAGTAGTCGCTGCTACTAGTGCTATTGTGATGTTGATGATGATGATTCTTTGCTGCAGAACTGTTTCCCAGTATGGCACATATGATCCCAATAAATATTTGAGAATGAATGAGTAGATAGCTGAGACAAATTTTCAGAAGGTGTAGCAATTTGCCCATGATATATAAAGGGGATCGACATTCCCATCTAGGGAAAGCCTGGCAATAGTCCTGAGGTCTGAGGATGATTGCTGGCAAATGAGGCTGGTTTGGTCAGTCCCTTCAAGAGGGGCTCCCTTTGCCCTTCAGCTCCCATATTAGCTGCAGTCTTGGGTCTGGAAGGCCCTGTGGTGCTGCGTGCTCTGGTGTCTCTGTCTTCCAGCTGCTGCACAGCCACACTGGAGGCCTAACCTGGCCCGCCCGGGGTGTGCATGCATGTTTGGTCCGCCCTCCAGCTTCAACCTGCCTCCATCCCTGCCCCCCCCAGAATAACCTATCCAAATTATACCAAAAAGGAATCTGTATGCTGGGACCCTGTTTTTAGCTGTATTCCCTGCAAGTGGCCCAGGAAATAACAATTTTTTTTTTTTTTTTAATTTTTGCGTAGAAGAACTGGGATGTAGGAGAGGTGCAGGGGGTGAGAGAATTCACCATAGACAGAGTGGGGAGTAGAGCAGCCAGATTTATTGAAATACACTGAGGGGAGCAGTGGACAATACAGGAGAGGTCTGTTGCCCCATATGTGGATTAGCTCCCCGGCCAGGGATCAAACTCAGGCAGTCTTCATGGTGACAGTGCTAAGACATAACCCCTAGGCTACCAGGGAGGCCCAAGCAATTCTCTCTTAATGAGCATTAAAAATCCCCTGGGGATCTTGTGTAAATGTAGACTGTTTTGCAGGTCTGGGGCAGGAACTGACATGCTGCACTTCTAAGAAGCCCTCAAAGAAACTGATGTTAGGTATTCGTGTAATACTTAACAATAACAATTCTAAAATTTCAAAAACCCATATAAACCAAATCATGGTTTCTGATCACTGAGAAAACAATCAACATTCCTCCCTCAAACCAACAAAACCACTTATCTGGGTCCTGTCATCACCCTCTCTAATTTCTGGCTCTCTATAGTTCCTGAAGCAAGAAGCATAATTTGAGTAGCAAGGACACCAATCATCTACAGAAATGTTGACAGTAAACACAACATGAAATCTGGTTTCTGTGACAATGCTTATGAAATAAATGCCCCACGATGCCAATCCAGCTTTTAAATCATTAAAGAAGAGGCAACTGGGCCTCCCCGGTAGCGCAGAGGTTGAGCGCTGGGTTGCGAAGCTGCCCGCAGCCTCTGCAGCGCCGGTTCGATCCCCGGCTGCTCCCCGGGCACCGGAGGAGGGTCCCACATGGCGCGCAGACCTCTCCTGCCGCCCGCTGCTCCCCTCAGCAGTGTACTTCGGTCCTTCTGCCTGCTCTGCTCCCCTCTCTGGCTCTGGTGGATTCTCTCACCCTCCCGTGCTTCTGACTGTACCCAGTGCATGTGTAAACAAAACAAAACAAACAAACGAGCAAATAAATAAATAAAAAACATGCCTCTATTAAAAAAAAAAAAAAAAAAAAAAAAAAAAGAAGAGGCAACTGCAGGAAGGGCTGGAGGAGTCAGCCCACTGAGGGAACAGAAGATCAAAGCACTTAGTGAACCCATTTCTAAACCAACAAATATCAAAACATTCCTTTGAGAATGGGGAGAAGAAATGCACCAGTTTTCTTCAAAGATGACACTATGGAGATGACGCTGTGGAGATGGAATGCTGAAGAGAGGAAATTCTAAATTACTTCAGGCGAGTGACCTTACCCAGGGAGACCAAGTTACTATAGTTCTCCAACATCACATCCACATATAAGTCCCTCTGAGCAGGAGCCAGGCATTCCCACTCCTCTTGAGAGAAGTCGATGGCCACATCCCTGAATGTCACCAACCCCTAAAACCAAAAATTCACACATTACTTGTGGAAATAAAGACATTGAAGAACTGAAGAAAATATTTCCAAGAGGAACAAAAGAGGACTATGAAGAACAAATTGCAAGAGGAAAATATAACAAGCAAGTAGGAAGGAAGCCTGTGATAAGGAAGGAAATGAGTGCGACTAATGCAGGGCATCTCTCTGTCCAGAAGAATACTGTCAACAGCAGGAAAAAATTTCCTTGATACTCTGAGATAACTCTGCTATCCAGACTGTTTGTTATATAATATAATTTTAGTTTCTCCTCTAGTAAATAACAATAGAGTGAGGGGAAGAGGATGAATCTACAAACATATAACTTGCTATGTGGCTATCCTGTAAAGTCTTTGTAACTGTGAAGGCTACACCATCTTTTCCCTTTAAGCATAAGGGAAAAAATGCATGAAAACTTTTTTCCAAATGTGCTAGAAAAATGATTTCTATTAAATATTATTGTTATGCTTCAAGGAAATATCCTGCTAAGATTATATCATAAGGGGGCCTTTCTGGAGGCTTAGGCGGTTGAGTACCGCACTGTGAAGCTGTCCGCAGCCTCTGCAGCGCGGGACTGATCCCGGCCTGCCAGTGAGAATCCCACATGGCAAAGCAGACCTCTCCTGTCTCGCCTGCTGCTCCCCTCAGCAGTGTATTTCATCAGTTTGCCTGTTCTGTTCACCACTCTGTCTCTGGTGACTCCTCTCACCCGCCTGCACATCTGGCCTATACCCCATTCTTGTATAAATAATCTTTTTTTAAAAAAAAGATTCCATCATAAGGGCCTCCCTGGTGGCACAAGGGGTTAAGCACCACTCGATGAAGCGGTCCGCAACCTCTACAGCACGAGTTCGATTCCCGGCCGGCCAGGGAGCAACTCACATGGCACAGCAGACCTCTCCTATCTCGCCCGCTGCTCCCCTCAGCAGTATATCTTGGTCAGTCTGCCTGTTCTGTTCCCTGCTCTGTCTCTGGTGAATCCTCTAGGTTGGTCACAATTCTATGATTCATTCTTTTATTTCTTAGTATTCAGCATTATTCTGGCACACATTCACCGCCAAGATTTTGCATTATTAGGTTGCTCTGTTCTCTACCCTAAGCTTGTTTCTGTCTCAGACTTAGCTTTGCTGATACAAGGAAGGCCAGCTTTCTGGCCCATGCTGACCAGTGTTCCAGTCACTACCTCAACAACCCTCTTGTCTCACCACTGCAGGTTCGGGGGGGTCTCCAACAACCAAGCAATCCCAAATTCCATCTTATCTCTTTGGGAAAACAGGATATGTGAAGTTCCAAACTTTCCTGTGTGGTCCGGTGAGACCCTCATGACTAACTCATCACACCCCAGGCTTGGTATGGAAATGAGAAATTCTGATAAGTAAAATGTTGGAGCCCTGAAAAAGGAAGGTAGGGGTGAAAACAAAAGGCACACCCCAAGACAGCCTGCCATGGATGACAAGGCAGAGCTCAACAGCCCAGGAGGTACAAGTGAGACTCTTTTCCTGGGGGACCACCAGCTGTCTGAGGTCAGGGTATCCTGACTGGCTTCTTTCATTGTTATCTGCCAATCAGCAGCTTAGTGTGAAAAAGAGAAACTGTTGTTTGTGAAGTGTCTGCTATCTTTATTCTCTCCCTCCTTTTCTTCTGACTCCTGTTTGTGGCTTTTTTTTTTTTTAAGATTTATTTATTTTTATATAAGAACTGGGGTACAGGTCAGAGGCACGGGAGGGTGAGAGGATTCACCAGAGACAGAGTGGGGAACAGAACAGGCAGATGGACTGAAGTACACTAGTGAGGGGAGCAGTGGGCGAGACAGGAGAGGTCTGTTGTGCCATGTGGGTTGCTCCTGGCCGGGGATTGAACTTGCGCTGCAGAGGCTGCAAATAGCTTCACAGCGCTGCACTCAACCCCTTGTGCCACCAGGGAGGCCCTCCTATTTGTGCCTTTGTTAGAAGAAGTCAATCTACTATTGGTTTTCCTGACTGTACAAAGATTTTCCCTTAGTACAATGTATAATCTAGTAAAGGTTTTCTAAGATGTCTATAGGGTGCCAGTTATTAACTATATATATTTTCCTTGAGTTATTCTTTGATGGAAGCTCAATTTTTACTCTCAAAAGACTCTTCCTTCACTGCTCAATCACAGTTCTTGATAAAAGACTAAGCACAGAGAAGATGTTGAATAATGTGTTCATGAGTATAATGACAGATTGGAAAAAAAACAAGACACTGGGCTATCTGACACCTCCCTTCACTGGAAAAGAAGGAACTGAGAAGAGAGTTTAAGGACAGGATTCCGTTAGGTAGTAGAGAGTTTTAAGATAATTAAGGGAAAAATTCAAATGACCTATAAATAACAGTATTTTAAGCAGAACCAACTTACCTCAGTCATGGTTTTAGAATTGCAAGGATTAATTAATACTCCATGGGGTTCCTCTACTGGTGAAGTACAGAATCCAGAAAAGCCAGAGCTGAGGAGGGAAAATGAAGTTTTAGACCAGGTGTATGTAAGTGATCCTGTCTTGACTTAAGCTAACAGAAGCTTTTATCTTCTCCATTCCTGCTTCTCCACCACACCTCCCACACTATTAACAGAATCTAAACTTTCACCCTAAACCCCAAAGCCCTTTGGCAGGTAGGTTTCTGCCAGTGCCTCATTCTGGGGATGCCAATAGGGACCTGAGATTGGACTACTCAGTCCTGTTCAGATCAGATCCTGTTCTCTCCATTCCCACCTCTCAGGGCTGAGGAGTCATGTGGCTCAAGCTAGAGTGTTCTTCATGGGCTCAGAACTGAAGAAAGTTGGTCAAGACATAAGAACAAACAAGATGTACGAAGAACTGTGCAAGCAATTGCCTGAGCCTCTAAAGCTAACTTCTTAGTATTCAGAACATTCATGCAATGGAACACTATGAGGCTGGCTAATGCAAGATAGGGGAAATAATCAAAATATACTGTCAATTAAATAAACAGCTTAGGGCCTCCCTGGTGGCAGAAGGTGTTAAGACGCAACGTATGAAGCTGTCGGCAGCCTCTACAGCACGAGTTCGATCCCTTGGCCGGCCAGGGAGCAACCCACATGGCACAGCAGACCACTCCTGGCTCACCTGCTGCTCCCCTTGGCAGTGTACTTCGGTCAATCTGCCTGTTTCCCAATCTGTTTCTGGTGAATCCTCTCAATGCCCACACCTCTGGCCTGTACCCCAGCTCTTGTATGCATAAATAAATTTTTTAAAAATAAAATAAAAAATAAAGTTTACAGAATGTATAATATAAAAACATTTTGTAAAGTACAAGTATATATCAATACAGAATGACTGACAATCAGATATCAACAGATAAACATTTTTGGAAAGTTATACATTTATATATAACATTCATCTTCTTACTATGACCACAATATTCTTTTTCTTTAGGTATTCTGCAATTATAAAGTACACAAAATTGTGTAACCTTGGCCATGTATTCTATTACCTCTGCATTTGCTCATGTCCTGCCTAGAAAAATTGGGCTGAAATTCCCCAAGAAGTATCATAGATAGGTTGACAAAGTCTTGATTCTACTTCTCTGTTTTTTAATGATGTATATAACATATTTCATATAATCATTGTGGCATAGAGTTTTATTTCAGTTTCAGGTGTATAACAGTGACTTGAGATTGGTAGACATGGCAAAATGGTCACCACAGTAATTCTATCTACCACCATTTCTTTTTTCTTTTTTTTTTTTTATTTGTTTGTTTGTTTGTTTGTTTTGTTTATACATGCACTGGGTACAGTCAGAAGTGCAGGAGGGTGAGAGAATTCACCAGAGCCAGAGCAGGGAGCAGAGCAGGCAGAAGGACCACAGTACACTGCTGAGGAGAGCAGCGGACGGCAAGAGAGGTCTGCGCGCCATGTGGGACCCTCCTCTGGTGGCCGGTGAGCAGCCGGGGATCAAACCGGCGCCGCAGAAGTCACGGGCAGCTTCGCAACCCAGCGCTCAACCACTGCGCCACCGGGGAGGCCCTCTACCACCATTTCTTAACAACTTAGACGCTACTATGTGTCAAGGCACTTCAGGTCAAGGAAAACAAAGATCCTCATAATCAAAAGACAAAAATAACTGTATATATATAAAAAAGAAAGAAACTCACCTGACGTGGGTTTCTAATCATGCAACAATCCTTCTTCTCAGGGTCAGGGTCTTTCTTTGAGATGTGGCAGCACGCAGCATGGGGAAAAGGATTCACCAGACATTGCAGCACAGACTGACTTAACTAAAAAAGAAAAAACAAAACAGTTTATAGGGACATATACGCCTTCATCCATACATAATCAAATGGAAATTAGAGTTAGGATGGAATCCATCTCTAAGTTGACAGCAGTTCCTGGGGAGAGAGATCTGACTGCAGTGGCTCGGAAAAAGATCGTTGGCCCCTAGAAGCTCCCCTTCTAGGAATCCTACCCCTGGCATTTCCCCATCACGAAGGAGAATCCTGTCACCAGGACACTCCCAGTCGTAAAACTTACCCCAACACTAACCCTGTGCCTTCTTCTTCTTTTTTTTTTAAATTTATTTATTTATGCATACAAGAACTGGGGTACAGATCAGAGGTGCTGGGGGTGAGAGGATTCACCAGAGACAGAGTGGGGAACAGAACAGGCAGACTGACCGAAATACACAGCTGAGGGGAGCAGCGGGCGAGACAGGAGAGATCTGCCTGGCATTGTGGGTTGCTCCCTGGCCAGCCTGGGATCGAACTCGTGCTGCAGAGGCTGCGGCGAGCTTCATAGGGCAGTGCTCAACCCCTTGCACCACCAGGGAGCTGTGACTTCTTGTTTGAAACGTACACCCTAGAGCTTAACACAGGCCTCTCTTCCAAGCCCTCGGCAGCCCCTCGGGGAGCCCAGAGCACACACGGTCAAAGCAAAACCGCAAGGCCACGCACCCCAACATCCCGTCACACATTCCCAGCCGCACACGGGGTCACGCTGGGAGACACAGCCCGGGGCTGCCGCGCCACCGGTCACACACCGTCCTGCTCAGCTCAAAGCTGCGGACACGACGCGTCCGGTCTACGACCCGGGCCTCCAACCTCCAGCGTTTCGGGGTGTCACCTCCGCCCTCCACTGCTGGTTCTGCTTCGGCTGCGGTGAAGGGCGCTGAGCACCCCCAGTCTCACCCGGCGCCAATTACTTCCTCAGGACACCAGCTCCCCCGGCAGCTGCCAAACCCCTGAGGACACCCGAAAGGCACCCAGCGCTGGGGGACTGTTTGGGCCCAGGGGCTTATGGGAAATAAGCGCCGGAAACGCCTCAGAGCTAGGCCTCCGCCCACCCGGAAAATTTCTGGACCAGAGGTTTCTGGGAAATGTAGTCCACAGCCGAGGCACCACGCGCCTTCCCCGACACTGACCAGGCTAGCTAGTCTTTGCTGGAGCTACTTAGTTCTTGGCTTGTGAGAACCCGGTTGTCTTTGGATTGAAAAACAGTGCAGTGTTCCTAGGTATTTACCCAAAGGACACAGAAACATCAATTCCAAAGAACACCTGCACCCCTATGTTTATAGCAGCACTATTTACAATAGCTAAGCTTTGGAAACAGCCCAAATGCCCAAAAATAGATGACTGGATCAAGAAGATGTGGTACATATGTACCATGGAATATTACTCAGCATTCAAAAAAGATAAACACATGCAATTTGCAGCAACATGGATGGCGCTGGAAGGGATCATGCTCAGCGAAATAAGCCAAAAAGAAAAAGAAAAATACCGGATGGTCTCACTCATAGCAGGAATCTAGAAAACTTAAATAAGGGACCAGGAAAATGAATAACTATAAGAAAGTGAAAATCAAAATCAACAAAAATCTATGAACCAGAGACACTTTTGGGGGGGTGGGTGGAGGGAGGGGAGGGATTGGGGTCAAAATGGGGGGGTTGAAATTGTATGGGGAATATAAAAATAAAATTTATTATAAAAAAAAGATTAGAATGTATCAAAAAAATAAATAAATAAAATACTAAATGAGAGAAAAAAAAAAAAAGAAAAACAGTGCAGTGTTGCCTAGCCTGGCATGTGTTAGTTTGGCTGTCTACTAAACCACTATATTTTCTTGGGAAATTGTGACTGCTGTGATAGTGAGTGAGAGCTAGGGCTTTCATAATCTACAAAATAGAATTGTGTTAAAAAAAATAGAATTGTGTTAGTACATATTCTTGGACCATAACATTTAAGATGCAGAAAAAAATTTGCAACGTATCTGCCAAACGATTTAGATAGTCTGGAATGAATTAGTGATGCTTTATGGGAAAGAATGCTATCAGCATAATTTTTTAAGAAGAAAGAAGAAATCAAAAAGTAACATCCAGCTTCGGAATGACTGAGGTTTCCGTTCTTTTGTGATATTAAGGGAGCATGAGCAGATAACTTTGAAAGCCCTAGACTAAGGAAATAGTCTACTTCCCACTGGTAGAGGCAAGTAAATTAGAGCAGAGACCAGAATTAAAAAATCATATATACTAGTTTATAGGTGGGGCAAGACAAGGACTATTTGAGACTATGTTGATACGTCAGAATGCTGTTTATCCTATTTCTAAAATACATAATTACATCGTTGTATTTTAAATATACAAAACAAGGTTTCTGGTCCTCCCTGGTGGCGCAGGTGGTTGAGTGCAGCGCTGTGCAGCTGTCTGCAGCCTCTGCAGTGCGGGTTCAATCCCTGCTGGCCAGCTGGGGACATACTCCCATGGTGCAGTAGACCTCTCCTGTTTCTCCCGCTGCTCCCCTAAACAGTATATTTCATTCAGTCTGCCTGTACTGTGCCCTGCTCTGTCTCTGGTGAAACCTCTCACCCTCCCATCCATCTGGCCTGTAACCGGGTTCTTGTATGCATGAATAAATAAATCTTTAAAAAAAAACAACCAAGATTTCCATTTCCTAGCCAGGCCTGGTTTTGTTATAGGAGACTGCAACTTGGTCCTTGTTTATTTTATTGAGTTAATCTGATCCTTGTTTTAACCTGGTCCTTGTTTGTAAATTGAGTTAACCCGGTAAAACTCCAGCCAGCCAATACCATTCTTCCTTGGCCTGGTGATCAACCTATGTCCTGCTCCAGTTCTCAGTGATTCAGAGCAGTTGCTACCCTTCTCCAATTGTGTGATCCACAATAAATATTCAATCTTGTTTTTGGCTCTTTCAGAATTTAGAATCAAAGGAAGCTAGACAAGGACCCTTTGGCATCAGCAACAATTTCTCTATTACAGCTGGCACTTTTGAACCTAAATTTTGTAGTGCCTTCTGATTTTTCCCCCATCTGAAATGGCATAAATAGATGAACAGTTAATTAATACAGTTTAAGGGAAGACAATAAAATTCCTTTTCTATTACAATTTTAAAAGAATTCCCTAACTCTGAAAAAGAGATGGGTTTTTCCTGGTCTTTTTTTGTTTCTCCTCCAAAATTCCCTTTTTTCACTCCAGTTGGTTTCATCACAGTTAAAAGTCCTTAAAACACTTCTCCATCATCATATTCAGAGGCACTGCTTTCACGAATATCATTGCAATCACAAACAAATCTTGAAGCAAAACACGTCCATCAAAAGAATGGATACTTAGATGGCCTATAGAGTGGAGTAGTAAGCAGCAGTGAAAATTACTGAAACTAATAAATATGATGAGCAAAGAGTCATAGAAATATATATATAAACGGTATGATTCCATTCATAGAAATTTATTTTTTTTAAAGATTTATTTATTTATTTATATAAGCACTGGGTACAGTCAGAAGCGCGGGAGGGTGAGAGAATTCACCAGAGCCAGAGCAGGGAGCAGGGCAGGCAGAAGGACCGAAGGACACTGCTGAGGGGAGCAGTGGGCGGCAGGAGCAGTCTGCGCGCCATGTGGGACCCTCCTCCGGTGGCCGGGGAGCAGCCGGGGATCGAACCGCCGCCGCAGAGGCTGTGGGCAGCTTCGCAACCCAGCGCCCAACCGCTGCGCCACCGGGGAGGTATACTTGCAATTCTTAATTAAGAGGTTTGCTAGCTACTTTTTTTTTTTTAAAGTTTTTTTTTTTTAAAGATTTATTTATTTATTTAGACAAGCACTGGGTACAGTCAGAAGCGTGGGAAGGTGAGAGAATTCACCAGAGCCAGAGCGGGGAGCAGAGTAGGCAGAAGGACCGAAGTACACTGCTGAGGGGAGCAGCGGGCGGCAGGACAGGTCTGCGCGCCATGCGGGACCCCCCTCCAGTGGCCGGGGAGCAGCCAGGGATCGAACCGGTGCTGCAGAGGCTGTGGGCAGCCTCGCAACCCAGCGCTCAACCGCTGCGCCACCGGGGAGGCCCTTGCCAGCTACTTTTATCCTGTGAGCTCTTGCTCCCTCTAGTGGCTCTTTGTGGTACTGCACGTCCTCTAATTGTACAGCCGCAATAGTTCTCAATCACCAGGCATGCAAGTGCGCTGGCTCACTTCAGTTCCCTGCATCAGACAAGACGTGAGCCTTCTGAAAATCCAGAATTCTAGACACATGTCCCACTCCTCCCCTTCCTTCTAAAGGGAGAAGCCTCAGGTTCTGCTCCTCCCAACGGTACTGCATTGGTTACAGCAAACCATTCCCCAAGTCCACCAGTCTTCTTTGTTCTTAGTCTTTCCAGGTATTCAAACTATGCTGGTTCTGTCAGTGCTTCAAATGAAGCCAGACTGAAACCAGTCTCTCAGGCAGCCCTCCAAATAGCTAGAACATGGGACACATGCTCCATGCTTCTCCCTCTCTCCTGAGGAAGAAGCCTCAAATTGTGCACCTTGTCATTACACTGATCTCTTCCAGCAACAGTATGTTTGCTCCGAATCATCTTTGTTCTCATTAACCCAAAGGGACCCAAACTTGGTTGCACTGAGAGTGAGGTGAGCCAAACCAGTACCTCAGGCAGCTCTCCAAAAATCCACCATTCTGAAAGAACAATGACTTAAAGAAGAAGTGATAATGAGTTATAATGAAATCACTCATGAGGTTGTGGCCAGATTCCTTTACAACGCATTATGTGAGACTGCTACACAAACGTTAGGATTCACGCACGGGTTTCCCTCTTGGACCATCCAAACCATTTGTTTGATCCTGCTCTCTCTAGTGTAAAAGGTATGGATGAAAGCTAGAGAAGGTGGTACCAGAAAGTTTATATTAAAGGCGTGAGGAAAATTTAAGTAGGTTATCCTTTGGTTGCTGATTTTTTTTAAAGATTTATTTATTTATGCATTCAAAAACTGGGGCACAAGCCAGAGGTGAGGAAGGTGAGAGGATTCACCAAAGACAGAATGGGGAGCAGAACAGGCAGACTGACTGAAATACACTGCTGAGGGGAGCAGCGGGCAAGACAGGAGAGGTCTGCTGTGCCATGTGGGTAGCTCTGAGGATCCAACTCATGCTGCAGAGGCTGCAGATAGCTTCACAGTGCTCTGCTTAACCCCTTGCGCCACCAGGGAGGCCCAGGTTGCTGATTTTTTTAACTTTTTTTTTTTTTAACCTATCATGACAAGCCTAACAAATTCAGGAGACTTTCTCAATATTTTAGTGAACCCACTTCTTCTCTAGTCAAATGTATTCTTACCTGTGAAGGCCTTCATGGGTCTCATTTTCTCACACTCTCCCAAAAAACTCCCTGAAAGATTGTAACTTCGGGTTCCGGGGTGGGGTGGGTGGAGGGAAGATTATAACTTCCCTTCACACCTTGAAGAACTTCTACAGATAACCCCTAGTGGACATGAAGAAATAAGCCACCATCAAGCACCATAGCAAAAACAAGAAATAACATAAATAGAAATTTAAGTATTCAATTTATTGGGTACAGAATGTAACATAATTTCAAAAGATGGAAAAAAACAAAAGGTATAAAAATTCTAGGTTGTGTCCAACTTGAGAAGTCAGAAAACAAAGAATGACATGATGGATTGCCAAAAAAAATGGGTCAAAGACAATAATAAAGATAAATTAATGAGTACAGTAGGAAGGCTGGACATCAGTAACTGCCTATTTAAATTCTTTCGAAGTGATCCACTTCTGAGATGATGAATTTAAAGAGAAGGCAAAATAAATAAATAAATAAATAATATTAAGAAAGAGAAAGATTCACAAAAGTAAGTATTTTTTTAAAAAGATTTATTTATTTATTTATGAAAGCACTGGGTACAGTCAGAAGTGCGGGAGGGTGAGAGAATTCACCAGAGCCAGAGTGGAGAACAGAACAGGCAGACCGACGAAGAAGGACACTGCTGAGGGGAGCAGC